GGACCAAAACAAAAAGCGGTAGTTCCTATTATGTGTAAAAATACAATATAGTTATTGTGAAAAGAACAAATATAATATTGAGCATTTAAAAATAAAATTATTTATACGATCGGACAGTGTTTTTTTGTTGTTTTTTTTATGAATTTAATATTCATAGGGATATACTTGAAAATATCTGCACAAAACAATTCGATATATTAAATTGTGTATCCATTAACCATGGAAGGAAGGAGGACAGCCTCCATAACGTAGGTGTAAATTTCTATAACTTTTCCAGTTAAAAACACAAAATATATTTATACTTGTACTTATTAAATATATTTTTTCGACTTTATCGTAAAAAAATGTGTAATCGTAAAGGTGTCCACATAAGAGGTGAATGAATCATAAAATTCTAGGATATATTTATATATTATTATCCCTAATGATGAATGAAAATTTAAATGATAGGAATATTTAGATCGTAATAAAATAGTTACGTCCCTATTATATTCGTTATATCCCTTATATCCCTTGGTCGACTTTTCTAGAAAACCTGAGTTAACGAAAGCTAAATTTCCATCAAAACTGTGAAAAATTATTAAGAGAAAAACTCATAGAATAAAAGTTGTAGAGGATCGAATTCCGCATCCAATGAGCAGCAATAATTTTAATGTAATTTCTTAACGACTAGGTTTTCTGTTTCCATGCAACCCTTAGGAATTGAAGTTAGAACTTTGGCTGTAAAATGTTTTTCCTTGGTATCCCGCGTCAGCAATTTTGTGTTTGATATGTTTGAATCCATATACCTAGACCAATCATAAATATTGTCGCAAGGATTTCAACAGAAAAATTAATTTTTTCAAAAACTTTACTAGAAAATAAAATGTATATCTATGGAGATTAAAACAAAAAATAAATTACTCAAAATGTTATTACTATTTTTCTTTCGCTTTGTGACACATTCATTCTAGGAATAAATGTAAATCTATAACTTATATTTATTTATTCATGTATAATTTATTGTTTCAAAACAAAGCAGAAAAAAAAGGTTTCTCACTCCCCCACTTTTTAAGAATAAGTGCCGTTTGAAATTGACCGACAAATCTGATTTAGAATTCGTAATGATACAGTGAACGATGGGTATAATATACTTAGTCCTGTCAAAAATATTGTTACAAGGAAATATATACAGATTTCAACAGGAAAATTCTTTTCAAAATCTGTATTAGAAAATAGAATGTATACCTATAGAGAGTAAAACAAAAAATAAATTACTCAAAATGTCCTCCTTTTGCCTTGACACAGGCATTTAATCTTTGTGGTCAGTCATCAATAGCAGGAGGCAGCATTTCTTGAGGAAAGCGCTCAACTGCTTGGACCAGAGATTGTTTTAGCCTTTCCAAGTTAGGGTGTGCTTTGTGGCATGCCATCCTCTCCAGTTCGGACCAAAGCCGATAATCTAGTGGGTTGAGATTAGGGCTTCCTGAGGGCCAATCCGAGGCAGAGATGAACACTGGAATGTTCTTTTGCAGCCAATGCTGAGTTGACCGGGCTTTGTGAGCTGGAGCGGAATCATACTGGAAAATCCAATGCCTTCCAGCAAACAGAGTATTATTTAGAGGCTTGACAACAAGTTCCAAAATATCGTCCTGATAGTTCTTAGCGGCTGTTTTAATTCCTTTTTCACAAAAATGGAGCTTTGTGGTGCCATCGAAGCAAACTCCCCACCAAACCATCACTGAGGAAGAGTGATGATCCTTTAGAGCTGAGGCGTACACACGATCATTTTGGCGATTAAATATTTCTTCAAATGTAAAATTTTTCTTATCGCTGAACAAAATTTATCGATGAAGACCATTGGTGTAACGGCCAAGGAGCACTTTGTATCTATCCACTAAAATTCTTTTAGGGAAGTGGTTAGCCTTTGTCCTGTCATTATTCGAAATACAGCCATCCTAAGGTCAGTTTTTATTACTCAAGACATTGATCTGGCAAGGATTCCCATTTCCCAAGACATGATTTGTTTATTTCGAATGGGATTTCTTCTTATTCGAATAGCTACTGCTCTCACTGCTCTCACTGCATTTGCCGTTCTCACAGTGCGGCGACGAGGTCTGTTACATACAGATAGGGTCTCATTATATCTATTTATAGTGCGGTATACGAACATATAGCTGATACCCAAAGGTTTCAAAGTGTTGAAAATCTCTAGCCTACATTTTCCAACTTTTTGTAAGGCGGTTTTAGGAGAATACAATATAATTGGAATTATTATCCTGACATGTAAAGAAAATAACCTGATAGAGGTAAGGATTATCTAAATAATATCGAAGGATGTAAACAAAGTTCAACTTTTGTTACAGTATTTATGGCACAACTAGGTAGGCATACAAGTTTTAAAAAATAAAAACTTTCGCAAAGTGTTTCTCGTTTCGATCTTACTGGCCTAATATTCATTAAATCAGCCACCATTTTTAAAGCTGTGGATCTGGAATTCATTTTACTTAGAATAACATACACTTTTGTAATTTACATGCAAACCTTCCCCTGCGATGTAGCGTATTTCACTCTTACGGACACCTCCAATCAACTACTCCTATAAGTATCCTATAGTCTACCAGTTCTCCACCATTATAAATAGAGACGAGATTTAGACCTGGTTCTTTTACTGATCCCATCAGGGTCGCTTCCAGCGGAATGGAAGATTACACAAGAGACTATGTAACGGTAATATCGGATAAAAGTTGGCATTTATCCGAGAGTACGGTCTGTGGAGTAGATGGAGGCGAGGTCAGCCTACCGGTCGGTCGGGCCCACATGGCATTTAGCGAGATCTACCTTCACCGCCTCGGCTTCACTAACTCGATTCACTCAAAAATCAAATCAATCGATATCCTCACTCCAATTCAGCCAAATATATTTTGCAATTATTTGAGATTGTACCGAACAAGGTTCTGTTTGAATAGAAAATACTCAAGACCACTAACGGATCCAGTTCGGTTGTTTGTGGTGACATTAAACAAAACATCTATGCAAGTCCGGTCAATGACGTTAATTCCTTTCGAAGAAGGATATTTGAATCTTGTGAACCAATAACACATATCCAGTGCCGTCCTGCCACTGCTGCTGTTGAAGAAAGATACCGAGCCTGTCTTAACGCTCTAGGAAATCTCTTTGAACAACATTTAATATGAATGTTTGCAGTATGAATCTTTAGTTGTAAATATAAATAAAGCATTTACGGACATACCTTCAGAGGAAATTATTTTCTTGTTTTGAGGTCCTTAGTTCATTTATGCAGTCTGTCCACTTAACCCTGAAACACCCTGTATAACGATAATTACGGAAGAAAAAAAAAGGAACTAACTACCTATATGAAATATAGCTTAAATACAACCCCCATATCCCCACATATATTATTACAGTAAGGCTCGAAATCGGTTTTGTACCAAATATAAGCCTCTGTCATGCTCAAATACCATGAATGGGGTACCGTTGTATTCAGAATTTCACGGGAGGTTAGCGAATCGTATTCTCCACTTTTGTTTTTCTTTCTAAAACACAAAAATTTTGCTAGACTTCAATACTGGAACTGTGGTAGGTCTGTAGATCGATATGGGAGAAATTGAATCTTGAAGATTTTGATGCGTACAGCAAGACCCGGATAGTTCCTCCGGAACTATCGGATCCTGCGTTTTTAAGTCCAAAAACGTACTATTTTGTAGGTAACGCAAGGCATAGGGTTCGCATCCACACAACTTTACGTTAGTTGTAGTACTGTCATTGAATACATGTCTCATTTCGTCGACTTGAGGTCTCTATGATCGAGGAAGGAAGAGTTTATATTATTTATCGATGGTGTTTTTGATCGACAAGCCATATCATCGTTAATTTTTCACCAAATCTCAAGATTGAGCCACCAATTTCGAAGGCTTCCTCCTCCTTCAGGCGGGCAAAATAGTCCAATCATCCCGAAAATTCAGGCAAACAAGTTACGAAAGAAAACAAATTTTATTTGCGAATAACTGAAAAAATACACACTTTTCCCTCGGTTATGCCCATGATTATATAAAAGATTACTAAATTTCCTGCAAAAATAAAAAAATAAAAATCACCGAAATCGGACAATGTTTAGCAAAGATACAGCTTACTGAAATTTGTAAACATGTTGGTTCTAAACAAAAATGAAGATTTAAATTAATTTTTGTTTTCTTTGTCGATTATATTTATCAATAAAGTAACATTTGATTTATTTTATCTTTTGACACGTTACATTATTTTATTTTCTTATTAATTTGGCATTTGATAACAATATGCTGTGCGGATTTTTCGCACGGGCCTACTAGTTAAATGTAATTACACGAACAATAATACTTTTAGATGTAATTATTAAATATTTTTTTCACGTGACATGATTACATTTTACCATTCTGGGAGAGATGGGAAGGATAGAGGAGGGGTACGCTGTGCCGACTTGGATTGGACTCCTCCAGTATTCAAATGGCTACCTTCTGAAAGGTCTCGAATCACCCACGTGTACAAAATGCAATAACATTCCTCAAACAATGAAACACTTACTGGAAGAATGTTTAATATTTAATAATCCTAACACACGATATTTGATAAAAAACAGTTATGAATCCCCAAACGTCACATCACAATATATGTATTTTTATAAAATTTGATAAATATTGGAGGGCCAATATATTTTTTTGGATTTGGCACCACGTAACCACCAGATTATTTATAGTATAAACATTATTAAAAAAAACCGCAATAAATTTGAAAGCTAAAAAATAAGATATTAATTGAAAATTCTTACTTATTAGATAAAATATTAAATTGTTTAGTTTACGAAACGGTATCCTAACCTTATTTCTGTTCTAATTTATATACTTAAATGAACTTATAGTTTTTTAACCAAATTTTATCCTTGGATGAGAACTCATTGAGAACATCAAGTAAGTTTAATTAAGTGAATCTCTAATTACCATCTTTGTGGTGAATGGATGTGGTACATGGAGCCACCTACAGAGTTCGTTGCTCCCGAAGCAGCATACACTTCCGGAGATGCTGGCCCACGGTTGGGTACCGTTGTGAGAAGCGCTAGTCATCCTAGACCGTTTCCAACTTCTGCTGGAGGAAATACTTACATTAATTTTTCCACAAAATTAATGACCATAATCCTCCGAAATTTCATATGCTAGCCAATAACAATACCCTCGTCATTACAGAAAAAACGAACAAAGTTGAATGGCGTCAGAGGAACTCAAATAGGATTTTCCTACAATGGGATTCCCAGCAATGTTTCCAGTATTCGGGATAATAAAAGGTGCTCTGTAATGCCCAGAAATATGGAATAAGAATGAAAACAGAACAAGATCTTATCTCTTCTGATTAGTAATCGGTTTATAGTACGATCATTGTATCGAGCAGTTTTCCAAGTTATAAGATCAGTGGTAGTAACAGAAATTATGCCTCCTTGCACTTTTGAATTGATTACCAGTAAATCAATCAGTCCACAGGATTAAACAGTATAAAAGTTATATTGATTTCATATCTCCTGTCGATTACACGTACATTACACGTAAGTCTAACTATTGTTCTATATAACACGTATGACAATTTAGTATTGTTCAATTTAAACTAAACATTTGTTAATATAGCTAGTACGATAAGTGTAGAATTTTCGAAGTCGAAAAGTAAGTAATATGAACTAATTGAATCGTTTATTTAAACCAATATTTATTATAAGAATTTTTTTATTTATTACGCATAGTTCACATAGGCCTCACTTAAACAATATAACTGACTCAATTTTGTGTGTGTAGTTAGAAGGAAAATTCTCTAACGATTTCATTTGAGTTAAGTGAAAGTAAATACAGATCTTCCTTGTAACAATTTTTTGATAAAATGTTCAAAGTATGTTTGTTATTACGTTTCGCGATTAATACTGCCTCATCTTCGAATTAGCTTAAACACCACAATTTCTTCGATATCAAGTATATCCTCAAATTTCCATTATTTTTTTTCTAATTATTTGGGAGGCACTGTACCTGCCCCTCGTTTATATCGAGGTCTTTGTTGGCATAATACATAGTGACATAATAACATCAACACATAGCTTATCTAGAGTTTTTTTATAATACTGTTGAACATTTCATAATTATTTGTTTCTCTCCTGGGATGTCAGTTCCGGCCTCAAAATTTCGTTATCAAATTGATAAGGTAGGAAGAAATATAGTTATATTGATATTGAAGGCCATTTCTAACCAATTTCTTCTCGCTTGAATAATCGAAAGCGTATCGTATATTTTATCAATTATCAACATAACAGCAATATTCACATTTTAAATTAATGTTTTGAATATTTACTAGTAATGTTTATTTTATAGGACACGTCTCACGTCTCTATGTGGTATAACATTCCAACACTACTCACTCAACACGATAGAGTTTCATTTTTCCTTATACCTCTCTCGATCGATGTACGAGTATTCTCTAATTTGACGTGCAACGGAATTTTGTTTTTGAATTTTGCCTCAGGTAAAAGTTCCGTTTTAAATAAAATAAAGTAACACCTTCTGGAGATTTTTTTTACGTTCTTAATTAACTGAAGCCTCTGGGAAACGGGTAATGAAATATATAATGGAACACTGGTCGGATTTCAGTGGCAATATTGGCAGAATCAATGCTATATTTAGTTCTGTATGTAATTTCTTTTAAATTTGTCATGCAAAAATAATTGTCTGAACTGTGAATATCATCGATTTTTGAGTAGACGTTTTACCATCACGTCATACAGGAACTGAAAACATGTTCGTAGCCTTGTTTTGATAACGAACTTGCAAGTTACAGTTCATAGATCCTTTTCACACATTTGTTTGAAGTGGTTTAGAGGTATCTTCGCAACAAGCATAACAAATTTTATCTATTATAATCTAACAATGTTGGGTGACATTTTTCGTAATTTGTTAGCGCGTTACAAAGATTTTTTTTGTTCTATATCCACCAAGTAATTGTGTATACAAATTTTTTGATTTATTATTTTAATTATCATTGTCGAAACGCTATCGAGTGCAACAGAAAATTGAATAGGTGTGTGCGTGTTTGATTGATCTTGCCTCAATACGTGCAATTTTATTTATAGAATATTCTTATTCTATAGTTTGTTTTACTTAAAGTGACTTGTAAATTAACATATTGACTCAACCCAATTAAGATTATAATTTATACAATGTTGATTTTTAAAAGTTGACTAACATCACTACCATTGTATATTAAATGCAGTTTTGTATGGAATTAATAGTGAATTTGGTCTTTGAAAATGGTATCATAGGTGAAAAAGCCAGTGTAAAAAATATATATAAATATGGTTAAATAATATAGTCTTGCTGTATATTGTCTATCCATGGTATTTAAATTTTGAGATATTTTAGTCTAAATGTTCAAAATAATTGTTATCAATTGGTTTTGGATACTATCTTTTTCCCTTTTTATCTTTTTAGCACGGTGTCAAGATACAAGTTTGAATAATAGGTCATTACAAAGAAGATGAAATGTTGAACATTTCTCTGGCTTACAGGATGCAAATCCTTAGTTTTTGAGTTATTTAATCCAGATGCAATGATTAGACTTTATCCGAATGAACGTTACATAGGAAAATGAATTTCTGAGCACCCCTTAAGAAGTTTTGACTTAAAAAAATTTTTATTTAGGGGGTCTTCAGCCCCAAAACTCCCCCTCCCCCTCTTCATCTCTTGGGCCTGCCAGTGGTCCCCCCCTATTTGAAGGCAATGAATGCAGTGGCTAGTTCTAAATCTTTATATGAAGTCAGGGGCTAATTCAGCTGTTGGCAGAATACCGTATACTATTTCAGGTCTATATTTCGTAAAAAAACATGTACTGGGAGGATTTTTTTGTTTAACAATGTAAGCTACCAGTAAAAGAAAATACGAATAACATAAATTTAAATTTTAGAATAGAGTATTTAAAAAATTAAGTTAAAAAAAGAAAGAAGGAAGGTTAGGAAGAGAAGACAATACGAGAGAAGGAGAGGGCGAGACAGGCGGCCTTCACCTTTTTAAGGCAAGGTCGGGGGACCGTTAGTACTCCACTCCTCTTCGTCTGCGCTCCTGTTCTCCAGCGGACCCTCTCCAGAAAGGGGGGGGGCGGCTTCGACATGGATACTGTTATTTCCTCATGTGACACGCACTAAAAAGTCCTACTGTATGTACGTATTAAATGAGTTGTTTATTTTACAACAACAACAACATTATCGTAGATTATAAGATCTCATCATGATCATACGCAGATAGATGGGGGCCGTTACCCCACTAAAACCATTAAAAGAAAATAAAACATAATATAATACAAATGGCTTGCCGAAAATAAAAAAAAGGAATTTTTAAAAATTATTGTTTTATGCATAGACGGTGTTTCAGGGTCAAGTGGCCAAGCTGAAAATATAAATTAAAGATCTCAAAATAAGAAAAAAATCCTACAGTCCGTAAAATAAGATTAAATTATGACAAGTCACAACATATAACATTTACACTTCGACGAGAAACGTGCCCACCAGTCTATATAGGAGAGAACCAAATTCCTCAGACAAACACAGTACGTTACCTGGGAATAATATTCGACAGAAGGATGACCTGTGGCCCACACGTCAAAATGAAACGACAGACCTTAAACAAGCGACTGAAAATACTGTACTCACTCTTTTCTAAATCGAATTTGAAAGTTCGACAAATACTCAATACAAACCTACTCAAACCCATCTGGACATACTCCTCACAAATTTACGGTTCTGCAAAAAAGACGCACTTACAAAAACTAAAGACATTTCAATCCAAACTTTTACGACTTATAACAGGAGCTCCTTGGTACGTAAACAACAAAACTTTACATAACGACTTACGACAACCAACTATCGACCAACACATTTTTCTACTCCAGATTTCATCTTAAACTACACGGACATCACAACGGACTTATTAACGACATGGCCACACCTGACATGCCTATCAGTAGACGACTAAAGAGGAGGTGGATGAGAGATCTCCTTTCTTGAATTAAGAAAATAAATCAAGACCTGGAAGAAGTGCTGCTGGGTATTATTTTTTCCTCATCTCTAAAATGTGAATTTTTCCTATTAGATACAGCACATCTGCTTATTGTCAAGCTCATGACAGGTGTGGATGGAAATAAGAAGACAAAAAAAAAAATGTTGTTCAAAGTGATTTCCTTGAGCATTAAGACAGGCTCGGCATTTTACAACAGCATTGGCAAAATGGTACTGGATATGTGTTATTCGGTGATAAATATTCAAGACCCAGTCTTTTAAAAAAATTAAAAAGTTTTTTTTAAAGTTTTTTTTTTAAATTAAACAGTTTTTTAAAAGACTGCGTCCTGAATATTTATCACCCATGATATGTAGAACAGTAGCTTCCTCCAATGATATGTGTTATTGTTTCACAAGATTTAATTATCTTTCTTCGTAAGAATTAAGGTCATTGATCGGACTTGGATGTACTTTTTGTTTAATGTCATCCAACAAAAAATCCATTGCTGTCAGGTCTGGATGGAAATAAATATTTGTAACAAACAGTAAAAGATATGTTAGTTACGGAGTTTACTGACCACTACTCTAAAGAGATGCTGCAAAAGAAATACAATTCTATCGTCGATATTCATAATTTTTATTAATAAATTGGATGAATTGTTCTAAAAAAATTATTGTAGTAAAGTTAGGCAATATTATCGGATATTGGAGTATGCAAATTATCTAGTAGGTCTTGATGAGCATCTTGGTGGCTATGAGAATATTGACTAATTCTACAAAATTTACGGTAAAAATTCAAAAAATGTAATGATCAAGAATTTGTTGAAGATCCGAAGCATTTCTTTTTCAAATTCTATCCTAATGTTTATAATTATCTTGGCTACTGTTATTATAACCTCATTATAAATCGATTGTATTTGTTTCAGGATGCGGTCGGTAGAGTTCAGTGGTAGCGAGAGCGGGTGCAGGACCCCGGAGGGCTGGCCCATGTCAGAGGACGAGGAGTACACCCCCCCTCACGGCCAGAACAAGCAAGGTCTGTAGCTCTACTCCTCTAACATAACCCGTACAATTGTTATCAAATATCTCATTATGTATTACATAAATAATTATTAACTATTAGGCCCGTGCGAAAAATTCGCACAGCGTAATGTTATCATATGCCAAATTAATAAGAAAATAAAATAATGCAACGTATCAAAAGATAAAGAAATCAATTGTAACTTTATCGATAAATATAATCGACAAAGGAAACAATAATTAATTTAAACCTTCATTAATGTTTGGAACCAACATGTTTATAAATTTCAATAATCTGTATCTTTGCTAAACATTGTCCGATTTCGATGATTTTTTTTTTTTTTTTTTTTTGCAGGAAATTTAGTAAACTTTTATATAATCATGGGCATAACCGAGGGAAAAGTGTGTATTTTTTTAGTTATTCGCAAATAAAGTTTGTTTTCTTTCATAACTTGTTTGTCTGAATTTTCGGACTGAACGGACTATTTTGCCCGCCTGAAGAAGGAAGCCTTTGAAATTGGTGGCTCAGTTTGGTGAAGAATTAACGATGATATGGCTCGCCGATCAAAATCACCATCGATAAATAATATGAATTCGGCCTAAAATCGGTCTTTCACTTTGCATGACCAAGACCGCCTAATTGTTGCAAGACCAAGACCAAGACTGGTTAAAAAGAAAAAAGCATTTTCGTGAATAAAAAATAAAGCAAAATAGTTACTAATACTAGACAATTTTAGTTACTACATGTTACGAATTTGGAGAACCAATATACATTTCATTTAACTTCCAATTTTTTATTCGGGGTTGAGTTAGGTTTCTCCAATCTGAAAAATGACAGTAATATCTCTATAGTATGTAGTGGTAACATTTCTTTAAAGGATTGTTAAAAAATCGTCTAGATCGGACCAGTTTTAGCGACGTTACAGTGTATTGAATTTTAATAACTATTCACACTTGGCCGTTTATATTGATTTAGTTCATCAAAGAAATCGTACTCTAATGATTTCTCTGATCGGTTATCAGGAAAATTAGTCTGCTACAGTTGTTTTATTTTTAATGAAGACATATTTAAAACTGAAAAAAAAATGGTTAAAATCGGCAGGAAAGTCATGTGAGTGGACGCACCAGATTTTTTATTTAAATAATTGGTGACGTTGTATAGATTGTCATTGCTCTATAACTATTCCATTCCGAAAGGGGGGGCCTATCAGTATCTTTCTTACCAAAGCCTTTAATGTACTGTCAAATTAATTTTATTAATTTGGTTGGATTTTACTATGTTCATGTCAATAAAACAAGTAAATATACCTATTCTGTAGCGTTATTCTAAGATCTAAAGTAACATGTTTAATAAATAGCAATACGTTAATAGGTAACTGCAAGACTCTTACGCAAGTCCAAGACTAAGTGCACAAGACCAAAACTCGTCTTGGTCTTGCATTTAGGCAACACTACTTACACTCACCGAGATACGCTGCTCACCGCTTTTATAAAGATTTTCGTGCTTGAGATTTTTTTCGGTACATTTATTATATTAATCTTTATTGCATGGATTAAGAAATTGGAAGATGTTACAATGGATGATTGGCCTGAATCCTTAAATGATGGATTGTAGAAAGCGACACACCGACCTTAATATTAAAGTATTCAAGGTTAGATTGTACCTTGTTTAACAGGTCACCTTTTTGTACACTACTTCGACGACATTTGAGTACACAATTGTTCTTTCGTCACCCCGCACAGTTGTACACACACTACCTGGTCGCTTGTTCTACTTCTCGTCTATTCAACTATAGTTCTATTGGCATCAAAATTATTAAAAACATTGATTGAGTCAAGAATCTTGAAAGATAAATTAAAAATTAATTTATTTTACATAGAAATTATCGGGATTTCCATCGATAATATTTTAGTTTTATAATACATAATATCTATTATATATTATATAAATAGTAAATATAATCAAATAATCTCTCGTTTCGTTTCGTTTCGTTCCGTTTATTTTATTTTGATAAAAAATAATACGATCTGAACTACAGAATATGTAAATTACAGTAATACAATTTGAGCAACGTGTAGTACAATTAAATGGACAGCTGTATAATTTGTAAAATGGGGCTTGGTCCGCCATTAGTACCCCGCCTCCTTCAATTTTTTATTAAAGATGAATATATTATTAGTTGTTATTTTAAAATATCATCACCAAGACACTAAAAATACGTCATAATTATAAGACGTTGATATTTCTAAAACTTTTATTTCTGTAGATATATATTCTTTAGATATATATGCTCAACATATCCACAGAAGGAGTCTAAGTGACATTTTTGTCAATCGGGTAAAATGTCATAAATCGATGCCTTTATCGGGAAAGGCGTTAGATCGATAAATCGATGCCAGGAAATGCAGTTCACTAGTTAGATTGCAAGGAGTCTAGGTGTCACTCGGGTCTCTTTACATTTTTACATTCTTACACTATCTTGCATTACGGATCACATTGCCAAAGATCAAACAGTTAACATTTAAAGGTACCCTGTTAAATAGATATTACAGCTTCTAAGTTTTTACATAATCCATTCTATCTTATCTATCTACCGAAAAATGGACAATCAAAAGCGTGGATATTCTAAGAAAAACTCCAAGATTGATGACAGTGACATCCGTTTTAAATCATGTATGTACAATACCTTTGCATGAGAATTAAGATTTAAACTAAATACTAAAGACTTTATTTATAGTAATATTATCTAACTTTCAGAATTTTTAAGTAAAATTATAATTAATAGATAAAAAAAAATTAAAACAAGAGACCGATATGTCCGGAAAAATGTGTTGAGTTTATTGTATCTTCAAGCCGAAAGTTTATAGTTAACCTTATGGGAGATGGTGATTTTATTGATTTCCAACATTTGAGCACTTTCTTCCCAAATATTGTAAAAATTATACAAGAAATGAAAGTTCTTCATTTGAAAAATTCATGCCCAAATAAAAATTGTTAAAGTATGTTCCTTACTTTTGTATCAATAAAACTAACTGTTATCCTATAATGTAACAACTACAGTGTTTATCCCACCATTTTACCCAGGAGTCTTAGTGCTAAAATTGTATTTTTTAAATAATTATAAAATCCCTAAAACTAAAAATACTAGAAAAATTAGAACTGGTATAGAAAGTCAAAGAATACCATTTATTCATTTAGAATAAAAAAAAATGAAATTCATGTTTCAATTCTTCATAAAAATATTTTTTTTTAAATTTAAGTTTGATTTACTCAAAATTCGAAAAATGTCACTAGACCCCTTGTATTTTTAACCTTCATGAAGACTGAGAATCCTGACTATTGCTCATACTCATATTTTTTTATTTATTATATTTTAGTTATACCTCGGTTTCGCCATTTGAGACTTGGCGCCCAGTACCATTGCCAAGTTTCTAAACTCAGCGCTAATTCCATCAAAGAAACCCATCAATCAATGTTTAGCGATTTATGCTGAGTTTTAGAAATGACCTGTAGGTTTCCAGCAGAAGTATTGGATTCTGAGTTTTCTTTAAAATACCTCCGTATACAATATAATAAACTGTGGACGTTTACTTGATTATTCATTTGTATGAATGTCAACACTTATTAATTCTCTTCCAGACGATCATGTTTACCTCTGTAGCATTTCGCTGTAATAATAATATAATAATTTTGTTTTATGAGTTTAAGATTTAAGATTTTGTTTTATGAGTTTTATGACATTTAAGATGGAGCTCAGAAGGCCAGAAACACCGATCAAGTCTGGGGTGAGAACAGCATTAATGAGCTGCCTGTTCAACGGTGGTTCAAAACATTTCCGGGGGAGAGATTTCATCCTCGAAGTCAAAGGTCGTGGAAGGACTTCCCCTCTTGATGATAATGTTCTGCGGGCTTTGGTGGAAGAAAACTCCAGAATAACTGTTCGAGAACATGCAGGAAAACTTAACATTAGCAAATTAACCGTCGATGACCATCTACCTCAAGGATATTATTTTCCGGACAACAAACAAAATTCTAAACAAAATTCTAAAGTAAGTTGAGAAATAATAACACTGAGTTTATATCCAGCGGATCCATCGATGGAACTACTGAGCCATTGGGAATTGAATCGATGAATCATGGAAAAAGCTAAATTTCATTTATGGATCTATCGATGAGTTTAGAAATAGCCTGATAGATTTTCGATTTCCAACAATGTTCTTTACGCTGAGTTTAAAAGCTTGCCTCATTCCCGTTTGGACGCCATGATACTCCAGTCCAGTTAGCGTGAGCATGCGTTTAAATGCATTGCATCCATAATTATTTCCGAATTATCCAGAGTGCAGATTGGAGGGTCTACTACCATTATTCTATGGAGATGTTTTATTAAGTGCCCTCAGCCTGTAATCATAAGGAAACCTGCAAGAGGATCCTTTCTCGACAGGGCTGTCGGTTTTTACACGCTCTTCCTTAATAAGCAGCCTGCCCAATAGCTTCCCAACAGTATTCATCTTCGTGGATGCCAGTAACACAACCTGATTTGTCTGCTTTATCTCTCTTCGTGTACGGAATTCGGTTTCTTGGGTGCTAAAATGTTGAACCTTCCTTTGCAAGTTTATCTGCCATTTCACTTCCATGGAATGTTTATAAATATACTTACCCTTTTTTGACATCTTATACGGCACATTTCAAAAGTTTTCTAGGTGGTTCTATATCAAGTTTATCAAATCTCCATGTGGTGAATAGGCATTGCAAGGATGCTATAATTTTCAGCGAATTGTTCGACTATTTTATAAGATGCTTTGTGTTAGCTGTCATCATAGCATTAAAAAAAAAAAAAGATTGTGGAGTTTTATTATAGCTATCCCTGAAGAACCTTGTTCTCAATCTCTAAAAAGCCCTAAAAAATCAAACGTGATAATTAAATTGTTTGATTCACTTATGAAATTGTACTAATAATTAGGTTAGAACTCTTTTTCTTAAGGATTTTAATGTTTATAAAATGCTCAAACTATTTTATTTTTTTCTGTATTAAAGAAATCTTAGCACTCAAATCCGAAATCTTTTAATTTCAAATTCTGAAATTTCGCTTTGATTTTACTCGAGTTAATTAATTAAATATTAATCATCAATTTCCATTATGATAACACATACTGTCGCATTATAAAGTTTGATGTAATTATTGACAGTATTTCTTGCGGCAGTGACAGCTATTCTCACGTTTACTAAGGTATATATACCTAAATGTTGCATCTTATCTTCTTTTTTTTTTTTTTTTTTTGTCTATAAAAAATGTATTTGCGCCTGTCAACAATAAGTGATTTCTTAATCATCAATAATAATTATTAAGCGGGATATATAATTCTCATACTATTAGAAAAAAAAATTAATTATATCGATTATTATTAAGTTATCTAATTATCTGGTAGGAATACCAACTATATAATTCATTATTGTGTAAACAAGTTTTTAGTGGCCGTGTAATATTTTATTTTACATATAAGGTGGGATGCCCGCAGAGCTTCGCCGTCATGCGGGTTTCCGGATTCTGCGCCCTAATCCCATCACCCAGATTTGATTTTTTCTAACTGTGCAGGATGTAATTTTTTAACTCTTCTTCAACAATTTCTGCCTTTCATACACCTTTCTCATTTGTATAATTTGTAAAATGGGGGTTGATCTACCTGTAGGTAAATAGGAGGTACCCTCCTGGTTTTATGTAAATTTCTTTAATTTTATATTAAGATTAGTTTAGTTCAATTTATATTGATTCATTAATTACGTTATCGTATTAGTTGATGAAATTTAGTGTGTAGATTCATATCTAATTCATAACCTTGTGAAAATACTCATCAGCAGTTCTTTTAGTAAAGTAAAATATTTTATTTTTTTTCTAAATATTATATTATAATAATGTAATTTCTTTACATAATATTTTTGTTGCATACATTAGAAAGATTCGATTTCAGTGATGCATTTTTGAGGGAGGGGGCCGCTGAAAACTTTCCTGTAGGGACCCTCTTTTTCTCTCTACAACTCTGATATAGTGTTGAGTCAGCTGTTCTACATTCGTCATTTTTCAAGCTGTAACCAGGTTCTTCATCAGCATGTAGACAATGGTACTGTACCAGTAATGAATAAATACCACGACAGAACACTATTACCATTTAAGCTAGACTTTATTAGGCTTTTCTAACCAAAGTATTTATCGAGAGTCTTGGTCCTCCCAACCTCCCTCCTCCGCGCCAGATTCGAACCGGCACAGAAACCTCGATAATTTCTTTATATTGCCGCTGTTGTTGCCTTTTTGCAGTATCCCGTTATTTTTTGCGTTTAGAGTACTGAGGTTTGACCCCGTCTTCAACGGACTAGTCTCTTAATGGTCTACTTAAGTTCGTTTTGCTGAAGTAATGATTCCTTGGAAAAAGCAGAAGTGGATGTATCACATGTATACATTTGTATGTATATATTGTATTTGTATAATAAAATCGTTGCAGGGTAAGAAAAAAGAAAAAAAGTAGTGATTTCTAAACTTGTTTTTTAAAATTCACTGACAGCTTAATTCTTTCATTACAAAGTTGTAAATTATTGATATTTTAATTTTCGACAAATTCATTTGATTAATCAACAGTTTACTATATTTCAGTAACAATATTGCGAAATTTATCAATGTGGAATGTTCGATAAAAAGGATATTCCTCTTCATCGTGATTCAAAGATATTAACGGAGCATAGTTCAATGTTTTTTAATGCAGCCTGACACGAAATCACGTTTTTGCTTTGTCAAGCTTGAGTGAATGTAAATATTTTCTTGCAATGTTTAGTCCAAAATCACGGAAAATATCGAATATGGATAGATTTGGAAAACCGTACCGCGCAAATGTAAATACCCCCAAACAACTCGAGTATATGCGAAAGTAAGCATACATCCTATCTCCTGTTGTTTCGTAACAGATTGCTTATATTTGGTTAGGTTTATACATCGTCGGTTTATTGTAAAAAGTCATAAGTGTCATTTCATAACCTCAAATAATTAAGAACTTTAATGAATTTTCCCGTTCTGAAATCAGAAACTTATGCACATAGTGCAAGTAAATACGTACATGTTAAATAATAGGGTGTATTTCATTTTCATGCATTTACGATATTTTTGTGTAAATAAATAATTAAAAATAGTTTTTTATCAAATTATTAACATCCGCCTAAATCATGTTATCGTAACCTAAAAATTATTTATTAACGAAAATTCTCAGAAACGGGTATATTTCTAATCAAATTAATTGATTTAATTATAAATTATAAAGAAATAATAAATTCAGCTAAAAAATATCTATTTGCTTTCCATTTAAATTGTAAGATAATTTGATCACAAAATTGGCCAAGCCGTCAAATATTTTTGTAGGCCATCTTTATTCTAGATTTTATGCTCAAATTATCTTACGATTCAATTGGAAACCAAATGGGTGTTCATGAGTTTTAATACCTAATTAAATATACAAACTTTGCCAATCTGCAAATTAAAAATGCCGTAATTCCTAGAATTTTCGTAGATAAAAAAGTTTAATGTTACGATGAGATGAAGCTGTTCACGAAGTTTTTGGCGGATGTTAATAATTTGATAAAATGGAGCCTGTGCCACGGACTACAATATCGCAAATCACAAAAACATATTCTATAAGTAATAGTAAATCGTAGGAATTAGTCGTATAATTCAATATTATAAATTATCTGAAATAAAGCGCGTTTTTCACCATCATAGAAAAAACACATTTTGTAGTTTTTCCTCAATTAACCGCTATCATCTACATTATATAAACTAAACAGTAAAAAAGAAAACGGCGCACCTATTATTTTGTTGTTTTACCTCACTAGTACAAAGAATTTAATTTAGTTTAATTAACAGTTGGAACTGGACATTATTAAGAAATTCCTGATTGAAAAACCATTTTATAAATAAATTATAAATATACAAACTTTGCCAATCTGCAAATTAAAAATACCGTAATTCCTAGAATTTTCGTAGATAAAAAAGTACATAAATTACAAAAGAATTTGTAAACAAAAGTTCAAAACTTATAATAAAATTGTATCCTGAAATTTTATTTTATTAAATTATTCGATTATTTTCGTTAATATAGCGTGTTCCGCCCCTTGTTTTAGGAATACCTGTACTCTTCTTGTCATACGACTGATTAAATAGGAAACGTATTGTTATTAGATGAGGTATTGTGCCACTCTCCTTTCAAACGAACGATATATTAACATGGCAATGCTCAGCTATTTTTTGCATTCCATTTAACGTATGCTCGAATAGAAATGACCAGAAGGGGGTCTCATGGCGCAAGTTGTGGCATACAAATTTTTAAAGGAGGCATATTTTGACATGTTTTTACATTTTTGAGAGAACACATTTCGACGGAGATATGAATTTTCGGAATGAAAAATTTCACTTCAGGGAACATAGGAAAATACAGACCGCAGCAAGTGTAGTTTATCTTTAATTTAATATCTTTAATTTTCCTTTTGCTTGCATTGTTTTTAAGAATATGGGAGTTAGAAATGAACCTTGGAAGGGAGGAGAGAGTTCATGCGCTATAAACCTTTGTAGGAATGGGCAACTCCGGACTCTAAGTAATCTTGAAACCAATCATCTTGGAGTTTATTCAGAATTAGTACTAAAACTGTTTGTTTTTTTTAATTAAAAAATATGCTAAGAACTATGTAATTACAAAATACCACTAGATTCGGTATTTCTGACATAAAACTAAAACCTTCAAACATCCCTGATGAATGCTTTGCCATCTAATATCCGCCACGTCTCTTTCCTGTCATCATTCAAATACTTTCTTCAGCAGTACCTCCTTATACCCCAAACGTACCCTCTGAAAACATGAAATTATATCTACTTAATAGACGTATAGAATTTATAGAAACATCTGGAATTTCACTTATCCGCAACCAGAATAATATTTCTTGCACAGCTTAAATGTCCACAAACACGAAGCAATAAGCTGACTACGGGTTGCAAGCATATCTACAAATTACTCTACAAAATAAACGTTTCTATCGGAGACCCATCGATGACACTGAATCATCTTCCCCTACTCTGCTTCTCTTGTAAGTCATACAGAGAACAATTTTTTTAAAATTATGTGTCGTAAAATGATGATCTCTCTTCACTAGATAATACTTTAAACTATAACAGTATAAATAAAATTAAGCAAATATTTCTGTTCCTCGCATCAATTTTGAAAAACTTTAATTATGTACAGGTTAGCAGGCTCGAAACTTCTTGATGTGTCCTTATTCGTGATAAAATCTAAATTATTATATTGTATTTATAGATATTATTTATTATATTTGTCATTTATCATAAGTATTATATTTATTGGATAGTATGTGCAGTATATTTATAATTTTACATCTTCCTCTTGATTGCATTTTGATGTGCAAAGTATAGGTATATTCATTTTTTCATAAATATAAAATAAACAAGGTATATATATTTATTGTTATGAAATCTTATATCATGAATGTTATACTTTCTTTTCCTACGCTATTTAAAAAAATTAAGAAAGAAATTACTTGTTATATTATCTTATAAATATTATTTAAAGTTATATTTAAAAGGCCAATCCCAGTATGATCTATATCACACGCATGTACTGCTTTATACAATAAGTAAATTCTATGTATCTAATGGAAGTATAGAAGTTCTTATTAGAACTTAATAGAAGTTCCTACTATTCATGCTTTAGCATAAATAAACATTATTTTGTCAATTAATGATTTCTATCATGAAATATAGAATAAAACCCTTTCTTTGCACAGTTTCAATTATTCACATGCCTTCCACGGAGCTTTTGGTGCCCTCACTATATTCACCTCCTTTTTAAGCAGACTCCATCCACATTGTCGTTCTTTCAAAAATTTTGTTTTTTTCCAATCAATGCTAGATTGTTGTTTGTTAAAATATTTTTATTGTTGGAGGAGAGAGAGGTCCCTTTTATACGCTCATGCACGAAATGGGCAAATAAGATCCTCTCTCCAATAATGAAAAAATGTTAGCAAACAGTACGACAATCTACCAAAGATTGAAAGAACGACATCCAAAGTGGATGGAGTTAGTTAAGAAAGAGATAAATGTGACGCAGGGCACCGAAAAGTCCGTGTAACGTATGAAATATAAATAAATGAGACTTAAAGGATTTTATTTCAAGATAAAATAAACAGTCTACCTATTATACATGATTTCTATCTTTTACTTTAAATATTTTTGTTATTATATTTTCTTCAGGATTTCCTTCTTACTTTTTTTCTTTACAATATATTTATTTTTAAGATTTTATTTTTAGTTATTTATATATTGCCATTGAAGTTACTCAGTTCTTAGTAGCCAAACTCAGGGGAGAGGGAGAAGAGGAAATTACTGTAGACAAGATTTCTAACAAAAAAGTTCATTTGATGCATTGACCGATTCTGAACGGAAAAGAAAATAAGACCATTTTTTTGTCTTGTTTAAGTTTTTTCAATAAGAAAGAATTGCTCAAAAAATATTTAAGATAATAAAATTATAAGAAATTTTAATAAAATTAAAATTGATAAAAACGTGACTAAATTGATTAAAGTCAATGATAAAAGGGACATCTAATACGGCCGCTGTACAGAGTCGTGTATGGATGGAGCAGTATAGCGACCGCATTAGACCTCCTGAAGGTAAGTTTTATCATTGATCTTAGTATATTTAATCAGTGTTTTCTCAAAGAGAGTTTTGTCTACTTACGATGGTGTAATTAGAATTTAACTATCTCGAATAGTTTTTAAACAGTTCCTTCTTTCTTATTCAAAAACGTGGCCACCTTAAGGAAGGCACAAAATCTCCTTTTCCGTTCGGAATTGGCCCATGCACCAAATGAACTTTCTTGTTGGAAATTTTGTCTAGAATCACCCCCCAGAGTTTGGCCATTAAGAACTGAAACACCCTGCCCTGTATATTGTAGAATGTTTGGCAATTCAACAAACACATGTTGGTACTTGTTCAATAGCGGGTAGCATCAAAACCTCCCTTTTTATCTAATCTTATTTCACATAACCTCGCTTATCTCCTCTAACCTAAGTTATTCCCTTGTTAATTTTTGTTCCTTGTGTAAGCTGTGAGTTGTGAGCTTGTAAAATAAACGTATTTTTTTATTATAACATTTGTTTTTGTTTGTGTTTACAATTTCAATAATATCAATAGAATACAATGAATATGAATAGGAAGATATAATGATATGAATATAATACAATAAATATGAATTCGAAGATATTATCTGTGGCTTGTCAGAGTTAAGGTTATAAACAGTGGCATATAGCAGCCGGACGCTACCAAGTACCAACATTTGTTTTGTTTCTTTGTGCATACTTGTTACTCTTATAGGATCTTGTCTCAGAATAAATTTCATTTTCTATCTATTTATCTGCTTAATAATGTGAGTTGCCTAAAATGAAAATGGCATTGTGTAATATTTCTTGTGACTTTGATTGCAGATAGCGACACCGAGTCGGAGGAGGGCGGTAGGCGGAGGGGGAAGAGGCGGGGCCCGAGCTGGGGGCCGCGGCGGAGGCGGCAGGGGCTGTCCGCCAGGGAGCGCAACCTCAGGCGGCTCGAGTCCAACGAGCGAGAGCGCATGCGCATGCACAGCCTCAACGACGCCTTCGAGGTAGCCAAATCTCTACTTCATTTTTATTTAACCCGCTTCATAGCTCTGAGAAGCCGTGGGCTAAAGGGGTACTCATCGCAAGCTTAGGCTTCAATATGAATTACGAAAGTGTATATTATTCTAAGTAAAATGAACCTTGGCTGCATTGACACAAACTTTCCATTGTGGTTGGGAGAGGACGGCCGATGGACCACTAAAGATAGTCTCGGGACTCTATATTATCCATGAAAAAATATGAGGAATGCTTAGCATAACCACCATAATTAATGAATTTTTTTTTACGTACGGATACATTTATTTTATTTTATTATTTTAATGAAATTTACAACTGTATTACATAGAAAATACATTAAGTAAATGGGACATTGGTAACATGACATGTACAACATGAAGAGAAACTACCCTTTGGTAGAACTCAAATTAAAGTTCTATATTAGAAGATCCCAAGGCCATCTTCTTTTCAGACGCCTCGGAGGGTTATCAGGGATCGAGGAGGAAGCAAGGTTTGAAACGAGAGGATTCGGATGGTTCTGCAGTTTGTTATGGAAGGATAGGTATCTGGATTGGGCCAAATCGGAAACATATGGAACATTAAGGTCTTTATGGATGATTTTATTTGTGACAAACTAAGGAGCGTTAAGGATTTTGGATTGTAAGCATTGGATACGAGAGGAATTCGATGGTTTAGTGGAGCCCCAAAGCTCAATTCCATAAGTCCAAATAGGTCTTATTATTGTCATATATATGAGTCGTTTGTAATTGATTGAAAGCTTAGAGCGTTTGTCTAGTAAGTGCTGCAGTAGTCGAAAACGTCGGGCGGTTTCTAGTCGCTTCAGTCTGGTATGGGGATTCCAAGTGAGTCGTTTGTGAAGGTGGAGTCCTAAGTATCGGATTTGCTCAACAGGAATAAGAGGGCTATTGTTGAAGGATACTGTAGGACAGGAAGTCATAGGTTTACTACGAAGAGTGAAGGTAATTTGATGGGATTTATTGGAATTTATTTTAATCCTCCAGTTATGACACCATTTTTCAAGACTTGTGATGTGTGATTGAAGAGTTTGGGATGCAATAGATGGATCGTTATTAACTGATAGGATACAAGTGTCTTCGGCATAGGTGGTTATGACAGTGTTGGATTGGGTTGGGATGTCAGCTGTATAAACTGTGTAAAGGATAGGACCTAGGATGCTACCTTGAGGAACACCTCGGATACATTTGAAAATATTTTAAGAAAGCAATCGAATGTATTAAATATTTTTATTTAAAGGTTTGAGGCAGTAAAATGAACTCTCAATTATCCGATGCTTCAAATTTGCCGAGAGAAATATGATATAATCTTCACGTAAAAATAGAAGAGTGGACATGAATGAATCATGAAATTCTAGGATATATCTAATTCTAGGTCTTAACTGTAGTTTTTTCCTATTACCTTAATTGATTTTAGTTTACATACTCAATCCCATCAAATTAACTTTACTCTTCGTCGTAAACCTATGACATCCTGTCCCACATTAGCCCACTTATCCCTGTTGAATAAATCCGATACCTAGGACTCCACCTGGACAAACGACTCACTTGGAACCCCCATACCAGACTGAAACGACTAGAAATCGCCCGACGTTTTCGACTACTGCAGCACTTACTAGACAAACGCTCTAAACTTCCAATTATTTACAAAAGACCCATATATATTACTATAATAAAGCCTATTTGAACTTACGGGATCGAGCTTTGGGGCTCTACTAAACCATCAAATTCCTTTCATATCCAATCCCCACAATCAAAAATCCTTCGTAAAATCCTCAATGCTCCCTACTTTGTCACAAATAAAATCATCCATAACGACCTTAATGTACCACATGTTTCCGATTGAGCTCAATCCAGATACCTATCATTCCATAATAAACTTCTGAACCATCCGAACCTTCTTGTTTCCAACCTTGCTTTCTCTTCTATTCCTGATAACCCTCCGAGGCGTCTGAAAAGAATATCGCCTCAGGATCTTCTAATATAAAAATATAATTGGAGTGCTACCAATGGGTAGTTTCTCTTCATGTTGTACATGTCAAGTTACGTATTTCATACTTACTAGTTGTATTTATCATTATACAGTTGTAAATTACAATAATTTTTTTTTTTTTTTTTTAAATTTCTTTATTGAGTATTATAACAATCTGTCTATTGGACATTGGTTATAGTGAGGTAGGATGACATTCACACCATATGTACAAAAAAATAAAATAAATAGAACAAAATAATAATCAAAAGTATATACAATAGACAATAAAATAAAATAGCCTAAAAAAATAAGAAAATTAAAACTAAGGAAAAAAAAAAAAAAAAAAAAAAAAAAACACATGCATACCTATATACAATCAGGCGAGGGAACTCCAGGAGAACCCTGCGCTACTCTCCCATCTAGTATGCGTCTAGTATGCGGGTTCCAAGTTAGTCTTCGGTCTAAATGAAAGCCAAGATACCGGACTGTGTCTGAATAAGGAAGCTGGATGGAATTAAAGAGTACTGGTGGACAGGAATTGCGTCGGAGTGTAAAGGTAATATGTTGGCATTTAGATTCATTAACTTTAATGCGCCAGTTATTACACCAGTGCTCAATCAAGGTGAGGTGACTTTGGAGATTTAAGGATGCTATTTCGGGATCAGAGTTGGATGATAAGATTGCGGTGTCGTCAGCGAATGTTGCAAGAAAAGTATCGGGATGAACAGGGATGTCAGCAGTAAAGAGGATGTAAAGCACGGGACCCAAGACGCTGCCTTGGGGAACACCGGCTTTAACGGAGTAGATATTGGAAAATTCTGTTCCACAGCGAACTCGAAAGGAGCGGTCAGAGAGGTAGGATCGGAGGACTAGGTACAAGGACTGAGGTAAATGGATTTTAAGCTTGGAGAGCAGTCCGGAGTGCCATACCCGGTCAAATGCCTGTGCAATGTCCAGAAAGGCACCCGAACAGTATTCCTTGTTTTCTAGGGCTGAGGAAATATGATCAACAACTCGGAGTCCTTGTTGAACAGTAGAATGTTGAGAGCGAAAACCAAACTGATGGGAAGGGATATTTTGGGATTCTATAATGGGTAGGATTCGTTTCAAAAGGATCTTTTCAAAAATTTTTGAAAGGATTGGGAGTAGGCTGATTGGTCTATAGGATGTTGAGCTATTGAGAGGTTTTCCTGGTTTTGGGAAAAGGATAATAGTGGAGTGTTTCCATAACAGAGGGAAGTGGGTGGTGCGTAGGATACAATTGTAGATATATGTAAGGAATATGACTGCTTTGGATGGAAGTTGTCGAAGGATTTGAGGTGTAAGGAGATCATGTCCAGGAGCTTTACGGGGGATTAGTTTTTTTAATTGAAATTTTACTTCGGAAGGATGAATAGCTTTTGGGGGCAAGGAAAGTGGGATTGGTGATGTAAGGAGTTCTTCTACTGTTACGGTGTGGGCAGGATGGGATTCCGGATGTGAAATAAATGTATTGGATAGGTGAATGGCGAACTCCTCAGCTTTATCTTCGTCAGATGCTGCCCAGGAGCCATCACCTCGTCGGAGAGGATGCCAAATGCGGTGAGGATTTAGGATTTTTGTTGTGGTTTTCCAAAGGGAATTGTCGCGAGAAGAGAGGGAGGATAGGTAGGAGTTGAAGGATTGTGATCTGAAGGTGGCTAATTCCAGTTTTAATTGTTTGCAGTAGTAATTATAGGAGAAGCGGTCGGTAGGATGTCGGGTACGTTGCCATAATAATCTGGCACGGCGTTTGGTGCGGATTAGGTTAAGGAGGTGTTGGGGTAGAATGGTCTTTATAGGAATTCTGGAGGAGTCTTTTGGGAAGGAGGCAGTCCAGGCGGCTTGTTGGATTGTGGTAGTAAAGGAATTTACGGCACTATCAAGGTCATCGGGAGTTTTGAGGGATATGTTGAGATCAATATTATCGGAGATTATTTGGCGGAAAAGGTCCCAGTTTACTGGGCCCCTAATGAATGACGGTGGAGAAGGTTTGGGAACAGGTTCAAGTGAAACATTAAGGATTAGAGGACTATGGTCAGAGGAAAGTTCATTTAGACGTGTAATGGAACAATTGAGGGGACTTAAGCCGCTGTGGATAAAGAAATCAAGAAGATCAGGATTACGGTTGGGATCTGTGGGCCAGTAGGTAGGAGAGTTGGGGGAAAGGAGGTGAAAACGTTGGGAATTGAGTGCAGACAGCAGGGTTCGGCCACGAGAATTCGTGGTTCTGGAACCCCATCGTTGGTGCTTGGCATTTAGGTCTGCACCCAAGATGAAGTGATGTCCTAAGGAGTCGAGGAGAGAACTGAATTGGGCATTGGATATGGATCGGTTAGGAGGGCAATACGCTGATGCAAGAGTGACCGGAAAGGAGAAGGTTTTTATCACGATAGCGGTGGACTGTAGGAAATCATGTATTGGTAATGGGAGTACGTGATGGGAGAGGGATTGGTGTACAATTACAGCAGTACCGGCATGTGCTTTTCCGTCAGGGTGGTCAGTACGATATGTCAGGTATTGTGGTATATTGAAGTGCTGTTTAGTGGTTAGTCGAGTTTCAGTAATTAGTGCCACATCAATGTTCTTGTCAAGTAGTAAAGTAGATAGTTCGTCTGTATGATTTCTAACACCATTCGCATTCCAAAGGAGAATGGATATGGGTTTAGGGATGTGAGTCATTTAAGGATTTTTCAAAGGAGGGATGAGGTGAGATACGAGATTCGTGAGGAGTGATATGAGTGGAGTAACAAGGGATTTGAAATCGGTGAGGAAAGATGCTAACAAACTTGTGAGATCTGTTGCATTTGAAGGAGGAGGAATATGAGGAATTTGTTGTTGGTGGTTAGGTATATTAGGATGAAGAGGATTTTGAGGTTGGGTTTGAGGTTGTTGTTGTGGCAGGGCTTGACATTTATCGGTTAAAGTCTTACCTCTAAGTAGTTGGGAGAATGATAC